TCTAATCGAAGATTGTAATTCTCTAATTATTCGTCCAATCTTCTAAATTATCAGTCGATTTTGGTATAGTTGGATCATAAGACGGTGTGACTTGATTAATGATTCGATTAATACGACTAATATATTTGCTGGTAGAAGTTGGTTGCCTTTTGTTCGTTGTCATTTTTTATTACAAACGTAGTATGTATCACAACTTTGACAAGTAATAAATGTGACAAAGGAATGTTTTGATACGATAAAATTAGTTAAACTGAAAGTAACAAACTGAATGATATTGGTAGATCTTCAAATATTTATTTATATATATAATGATTATGTTGTGGAACTTATTCTGCATTATGATAGATTTATTACCAAAAAAAAAATTTGTTGATAAAAAGAATAAATTTGGTTAGTTAACTATTTAACGCTAACGTAGTCTAATTGTTTAAAGAGTTTCTATTCGTTGTAACATGTCCTCTAGTTAATTTAGAATTATTTGTTTGATTTAATTTTTTATAATTAGCAATTATTTAGGTTTAGTCACAAGAATGAATTTTGGGGCCAGAATACGAATTTGGGAAAGGTAAGACAAAAAAAAATTTAGAAAAATTATTGACTTTTATTACAACAGAGAGAACTAGAAAAAAAATTCTAAATTTACGTAGTTTTGATCAGAAAAAATTAATATGAATAATGGAAAAATCAGAACAAAATGTAAAAATTTTTATAATCAAGTTAATCTATTTATTTTTAATATGGCACAAAACCAGGATGTTCGAACCTACGATGTCCAGCAAAAATTCCAGAAAAAATATCTTTTATTTGTTGTGATATTATATTCCAATTAGATTGGTCGATACCAAAAGTTCTATGCACAATTGGCTCATAAGGATCGGTATATAAATATGAATGCTTCGAACTATAAAAAATTCGATAAGATTATTGTAATCTCAACAAATAATATAACAATAAGAATCTTTCTTGCTGTCTTATAAGAAATCATTTTCAATACAAAATTACCATACCTTTACAATTGAGTAACAGATCAGCATTATATTATAAAATCTATAATTATACAGAACTCAGAGTTTCATTTTATTTTGTAAAATAGG